TGTACGATATTGCCGGCTTGTGGGATGTATCTATCCGATGATAGAAGGACCGCCCGAATTTCGCGTGCGCAGGGCTTTACCCCCGCCCTTGAGCTTGTCCGATGATGAAGAAGGATCGAGTGCCACGGCGGCTTCCTATGGGCTCCAGAACTGCTGCTAGCAGTCTGATGGATCCGGTGCCGTGATTCTCTGCCTGGAGATCGCTTCCTGCCGTGTGTCTCGTGGTGCTGGGATGCGTTCTTCGTGCGCCTGGCGGGGCGATGCGGCCTGTCGGTGTTGCTTCTGTGCCTCCGTATCGGCGTGGTAAAGCAGGGCGCCGGAGTAGCGCTGGTGATCGAATGTTCCAAAGACGAGCAAGTCGAGAACGACGGTTGCTGCGGCGGAGCCGATCGCAGCGTTGTTGAAGACTTCGCGGACAGACGGCGTTGGGAGTTTTGGACATCGATAAGATCTGCGATCAAGTCAGCCCGACAGGAAACGACTCGCCTTCCTCTCATCGTCACGTCCTCTGTATCAGATGCCTCTGCCTTGACGACACTGCTATCGCGTCGTCGCGGTGGGAGGTGTTGGGGTGGCGGAGGTGATGGAGTGCGGACACCACGGGGGTCAACAAGACTCGCACTTTGCAGACGTGAGAACCATCATGCGAGCGGCGCAACAACAAAAGCCGCACGTAGAGCCTCCATCGTATCGGGTCTCTTAACGGGACGTCACAAGGATGGCGATGCAGGGGCTTCAAGACCACTCTTACATTTTGTGCGCTGGCCGTGCACCTGCGCTGCGCATGCAAACATGAGGCTGCGTCTACACACCCCAATCAGCGTGATGAGATGGAGTGTCATACTTGTAAAGTGCTCCTCAGACATAGGCACAGAGTGTACTGGTGTCTCGCTGCGGAACAAACTTCAGAGATTTCTGATCGCGACAAGTCGGTGCAGCTCCCTGCATGACACGCTTCCCATATATTTGCATCAAGCTGCAGCTCAGATGGACAGCTCAAACTCAAGACGGAGATGTCTTGAGACTTGTTGTGGGCTTCACGCATGTCGAATTGCAAGACGTGAAGGCCGCCATTTAGGGCTTGTCCATGGCCAGCCCTATAAACGACCCAACCTAGGACGATGGACGTACAGAAGCAAGATAGGCATGAGATGGTGGAGAAGAAGGAGCTACTCGACGACGGCCTCTCCATTGGTCACGCAAAGTGCCTGGATGGTGACCCTGTCGCCGCCGTGCCTGCCCCACACCCCTGCGATGCCAATCAGAAGACCCCGCCAATCTCCTTCACCAAACATACCGAAAGTAAGTTGTTGTCGTTATATATACAAAGACTTTCTGGATATTTCCATCAAAAGGTCCCAGGTGTCGGGTTCCTGGTAGTAGTGGCTACCAGGCGCCTTGCATTGGTTAGAGGATCGGACCACTGTTCATCACTTGAATGAATGGTTGGCTAACATCACCCAGGTTCGATTCACCGCCGTGTCTTGTTACCATTGAGTAGCATGTAATTCCTGGCTTTTTTTTGCCTCCGCCATTGCACCATACATCATCTCGTCAACCCATTTCTGGTCAGCTGTCCACAGCGCAAGATCAGATGCTTGCACATCTCTTTTTGCATTTCCAAGCATGCTTTATAGGGTGTGAATTGGTAAACGAGCATACAGGTGGTCTAGCAGGTGACATGTATGCGCTATCTTTCAGCTTATCATAACGCATACTGGTCTTGAAGCCACATTTGATGCGCATGCTCGCTTGTCCGCCATTCTAGAGGGAAGCGAAGTTAGAGAAGCCGGCATCTGTTGTAGATGTTACATGGCTGGTCGACAGCGGACTTCCGAGCATCTCCGCATGTGAGACATCATCGCGGGCTCCTTGCAAGAGCCTCAAGTTCCAGACTGGAGTCAGCGTCTAAAAGCAAGCGGCAGCATGTCGATTTTCTTTCAGATTTTTTGACTGCGCAAACATGATCATATCCATTGGAGGAGCTCGAAGGACCGACCTTGTCTGATTGCAACGTCGCAACGTCGCAACGCTGCACCGCTGCAACTGGACATGATCTAGATACCAAGGCCCCTATTCATCGGTCTTGGTGCGGACTTTGACGATTATGAAGATGCCACACGATGTGGGCTTGTCAGGGGTTACCTGAAGGTAGCGCAAGTCTGCTGTTCGTCGAGTTCTCGTCTCTAGCACCGCGATGAGGTGCATAGCGCGGACATGATTTACGACAACGAATTTCTTGCAACGGTTCGTTCTTGAACGATGTGAGGAGATGGCCAAAGACATCAGCGAACTTCCGACATTTGAGCAACGAACATATGGGCTGCTGAGCAATCTGCGGCTTTGACACATTGGTATCGAGTGGCACGCGCATCGAAATGCATTTCACTTTACGCTATTCGACACGGAGATCTCTTAATGGCCTTCTTTGCATCGTCTCATGTTTCCATGAAGAGGATGTTCGTTGCGCAACGGCGTCTCCCAGCGGAATATGTGAGGATTGGCTACTTCAGGGGCTGGCTCGACAAGAAGCCCTCATGAAGCTGGTTTGATGGATTACGGATCATGGGGCATCTCTTCCAAGTCCGCCATTGATCCGCCACTATCACGGAACAGCGTCACGAAGTATGACTGGCTGTGCTTCAAACCAACGCCCTCTGGCTATTTGCCTTCGCATACATCATTCTAAAAGTATGTGCTTCATCCGAATCGTCTCGGAAGTTCTTCGACGTGTCGTCTTCGCTCCCCCGTTGGATCGATTTTCGCTATATTCAGGGGTGAGAGAGTCTCTCACCTTGGAGGACCACACATCGTGTCTGTCTCGCCCCAAGAAGAGATCAATTTTTAACAGAACCCTGCCGTTGCGATCGATATTTGTTCCATACTCCAGGACTCACCCCGATCACGCCCTTGCTCTGTCGTCTTCTGCCAGGAGGTAGCCAAGCTTGACTCGCCCGGAAACACGACAGCAACACCTGTGCTTCAGGTATTACCTCGCCAGGTATGCAAAATGGGTCTATGCTATACACTTTCGATACTCACGCCTTGATGCATCGCATTTGGCTGTCAGCCTGTCGCTACAAAGATGTACCGGTTCAAGAGAAGGCAAAGCTCATCACGTATCAGGATTTCGAAGCTTACGACTGCGGACATGGGCTCGGGCATTATCGAAGCCACGCTCAAGAGTCAAAGCCTATCAACAACGGTTTCACATACTTCCAATGAGTATTGCGCGACATCACGGACTCGATGCGAGGTAAGTAACAACGAGATGCCGCTGTGTGCGGGCATTTTCACCCATAACCCGTCTCAACTTGTTCCGGGTACCACCACAAAGGCGCGTCGAGTCCATTCACGACCGTCGAGCGTACTTGCACTACATGTTAGCAGTTGCGTCATTTGATCCCGATGCGCAATGCTGAACGAATGCATGCCGTGGGTGGAAGCGTGGGTGCAGACCTGGATGTGCGGACATCCGCTGCCACATATGAGCGACGTCAGACCGGACCGGCATGCAGTGCAAACACCACGAGTTAAAAGAGTCTTCAATGCTTCAGGAGATGTGCGCCATCGAGGCTTCCCTGATCCTACCAGGCTCGACGTTCATGTCATGGCTGGTTGTGTACATAGCCTGAGATGTCACACACGCTCCAGAACGTGCAACTCAGGCTACAGGAGCGAGCTCAACGCGACGAGCAGCAGCTCACGCCTAAGCGGGGCTTCGTCTCACTGGCAGACCCCTGCCTCCTCGCCGCCGTGGACGATGTGAAGCAGTCTCTGCACTCGCCGCCGCTGCCCCGCCCCGCGTAATCCCCGCACAGGCACGCGCCCGTTCGCGCCTCGAAAATCAACAAAGGCCACCATAGCAACCTCGAAGTCCTTTGGCTATATAATTGCTCTAATCTTGCCAATATCTCGTACGGCGTTGGGATGGTGACCCAACGTCGTACCCTGGCCGATGAGGCCTTGACAGAAAACAAGTTACTAACTTGTGTATCACCAGGTTCGAAAATAGGTGGTGGAGTTCCCGCGGTTGAAAGTCCGTAATTTTTGCTCTTTTTTGTTATTTTTTTTACCGCGAAAGCTTCAGCAGAGCGTAGTGCGACTAGAGGCTGGTGCACCCTTGTTATTTCTCTAGTTACTATTCTACTGCTAAGGTAAGATGTGATATCTATCTAGAGGCAGGTGCAACCTTTTGTGCTTGTGTAGAGCTCCTCTTTTATTCTTTCCTCGAGAGGCGAGGCGGGTTGGTTCAGCACGCGCGCTCTTCCGAGTCTTCGCTTCTGCAGCGGGAGCAGCAGCAACTTCGTTTGCGAAGGACGTGTACTTGCACTCTGCTCTTTTGCTACTAGAGATTAGACTTAGGAAAGACGCAGCTAGCTACGTTGCTTCAAGGTAAGCTGCTTTGACAGCAAGTCTGCGCTTGTCGGCGTGGACATGACATGCCAGCTAAAGGACTCGAGCGCGGATTGCTTAGGCCAGGACGCGACAGCGGGTTAATATCCTCCAAGCGCAGCATTGGCATAATTGCTATATGCTCGCTATCGAGAAGTACTACTGCAATTCTATGGCCACGATCTATGGGTAGCACGCGAGATGACAGCGATACGCACCGTTTGATCGACTTCATACGCGCCAAACCGCACCTTGTCGCTGTGATAATCGCCTTGAGGGCCTTGAGGATATCTAGCGGCATGCGCAGCACAAAGATGTAGACATCACGTAGGCCTCACGATCCAGCATGCTGCTGATATGCCTCAAACTTCCATGGTGTGGATACTGCTGCATCGCTGCAAAGGTAGGTATGGGTTTTCTTTCTATTCATGTATCTTTCCTGCCTCATCTATCCATGTCCGATACGGTTCTGCGCCGCGACGCCGTTGTCTAGGTACTAAGAGCTATCCATTACGCCGTGTATCACCCCATCCATCCCCAGGTACTGCCAATGGTGCCGGTATGGACTGTCGCGCTAATTTTCCTTGAGTCTTTCGCTCTTACTCCTAGGCAAAGCGCATCACGGCTCTTGCTCGGTTGCGGAGTCTGAAGCGCTCGCCCAGGTTTGAGTTGTCACCGTAGTCGACGTACTCGGATCGGGTCGGAGCCATGTGGAGTGTCCGCTGAAGCCCTTTGCGGAGGGAAGTCAGCCTTTTGAGCAACTTGATCTCGTCTTCAAGATCCCAGTCGCGGTCTTCGGCCTTCAGGGTGAACATGGTCTATCGCGGAGGGTTGGTTAGCTATGGCTTGACGCTGGGCTGGTGGACCTTCAAATCCCGACTTACGTGAAGTTCCAAGGCAGCCGGAGCAAGGACCTCGTCTCCCGGCAAAAGTCCCCCTGTCTGGAGGTAGGCGGCTCGATCTCCCCAGTAATTGGCCTTGCCGTTAAGGGTCACGACCTCGCGTCGTACATCTTCGCAACGCTCCATCTGCGCCACCTCAAGTCTGCGCGTCTCGGCATGGAACCACCTCGCCGCGTCCACGGCCGCGTTCACGGCCGCGTGCATCCTGAGTGGAGGCATACCCTGTTGTTGCGTATGAGTGGCGGCTTCGTGTACGGTGGTGGGGTGTTTGCTCGGACGGTGGTCTGTCGGGCGGCGAAAGATGTTAGTCGCGGATCCGCTTTCGCTTTTACTCAAGCGAGAAACGTACTATGAGCGTTGGAGAGATATTTTCAACAAGATACCCAAGTCTTGGTCAAATCGGAATATGGTGGTGCGGGTGTGTGGCGGGGTAGCGAGAGAGGGTTGCGTCTTGATAGAGACATCGTCTACGCGACCTGGCGCTATGACATTTTGACCGTACTCGTCAGATCCTCACACATCCGCTACAGAGGGATTCTGCGTCTGCGACGGATCGCACGACAAGGAGAAGATGCAAAGGGCCTGCGAAAGCGTCTTCTCAATCTGTAGGTCATTACGCCCTGTACAGCTACTATTGGACTTTAGACGTCCGTTCACCTCCAGATGAGGCGCAAATGAACCCCTGCATTAAGCACGCATCTCCTTTGTGACTGAACTTACAGCTATGCGCCTGAAGCCGCTTCTGTTTTGGCAACGACAGCCTCACATCACGAAATCATGATTTACGCCCGGCTGCGACTCTTCATCTTCTCATCATGTTCTCTTTGCTTTCCTCCTTCGTTCGATCTTCCACGTCGCTTTACTTCCCAAGCCGACGACTTCCTCGTCCTTTCTCACATCTTCTCGCGTCGTTGAGGAAAGGCGTCTCGTGGACGAGAAGTACTAGATGCTGGCGAGCACAAATGGGCATACAGGCCTACAGAGCGTCTGTTACAATGTAAAAGCGGTATGATGTTAATATTTTCAGGGGCCACGGGCGATAGGAAGGAAGATATAAATGGCCGTTTGACGTCTCCTAGATTTGAAAACCAACAGAACTATCGTCACTGCTTTATAGCGTATGTAAACATGTGAGGGTGATGTTGCTTGCAACGAGTCTACCTATCTAATATTACACTCTTTTTGTTTCACCCAACACTTGTTGTATTGTTATGTATTTTATATCCACAATGCTCATTAATATCTCGTCCTACAACTTTGATGCCAATCACTACAAGCAATAAAGCAGCTCCCTCTTCCCTCCGGTAGTCACCCGTCATCTCTGGATATGGCGCCTGTAACCCCTCGACGAGCACACACAAGACGTAGCTACAGCCAACCGAGGTTGCCCAGCAGTATAGCCCAAAGGTGTCTACGACCGCCATTCCTCGTCCGCGAAAAGCGAAGACCCGCCCATATTCTCGTCCATGTAGTGTCGAACGCTAGTCGTCGAATCTAGCTCGTGATTGAGCAGCAGGTATCGATTGCCTATCAAGACGTTAGCGAAAACAGGACGTTGTTGAGTGCGCCATCCCAGACGCTGCTTCAAGTGATCTCATATATCAAGGCTGCATCGCGCTGTTGCTGAATTTCCAATTTATGTTGCTGAGATGTGCGAACGAAGACAAGACGTACTATTCATACATTAGCTTCATGTCTTGAATGTACTAGTAGTGCGGACGAAACTGACCCGATTCCAGCATGCTTACCGCAGTCAACATATCCATCCTCAGTAGCAGGCATACCGAGCTGTTCTTGAAGCTTCTTGCGGGCCGCGGTGATGACGACGAGCTTTTGGATCTGCTTCCCAAGGTCGCAGTGTTTGCCGACCGCGTGCGCTGACCATTGTTCCTGCAATGAACCATTAGCCAATTGTCGATTCGGGGTGATGGATACTGAAAGGAAAAATTTGTCTTGTCGCTCAAAGTACATACAAGCGAAAGTTGAGCCTCCTGCCTACGGACGCCATTTCGAACTGATTGGAAGAAATCTCGCTCTTGCCGATAGTGGAGGGCCTTGTTGTTGTAGGTCACGGCCTCGCGTTGCAGGTCGTCGCAGAGACGCATCTTCGCGTGCTCTTGGCGCTGCTTGTCTTGCCAGAGTTTGCGGATACGTTCTTCGGTATTGGTTGAGGACATCGCGGTGAATCTTCGTCGACTTGGCGGTGGAGTAGGTAGTGAGGTTGAGGGACTACAGAATGGTCAGCAATGTAATCACACGAGATTTGACCTAGTAGGAGTAACCTTAAATGACTTGTGGCTGTTGTAGCGATGCTCGTGAACAAGGAGTTGAATCAATTGGAGGGCGGTGCTTTCTCTTTCTAGAAGCTAATCGAGGAGCAATGAAAGATTGGGAACCTAGTTCAGTCGGATTCGTCTGAACCTTTCACTGTTTACAAGTGCTGGAATGTTAGTCACTGCGCGAAGGCACCTACTTGTGACACTGAAAGTTGCGGTTGTATTAGCGAGGCCTTGAGCGGATGCTTCCCGGTATGAGAGACGCTCCATAACGCGAGCACGACGGAGTAGAAACCCTTGAGCCGATGGTACTGCGTTGAAAACCTTGTGTACTATATGAGTGTTTTGCGCAACAAGTCGAGTGAGCCTAGTCTACTAAGATGATCTGCAAGTGAAAGGAAGAGACCAAGTCATTCCCCAACCTACCATATTGTCGCGCCAGTAACAGCATGACATTTTGACATGAGTGGAGGATTTGATGCTAGACATTTCGAGAAATTGACGTAGAAGAACGCGTGCACATGGCCTGAAGTGTGGACAAACATTGCGGGATGGTGGTCGAGAAGCTTCCCGCGGTGAGTCACCGTAGCTCTAATGGACGCCGCATCCCTGCCACACCAACAGCGGCAATGTCATGCAATACTGAAGTCTCTCGCATTTCCACTGAGGTTAGAATAAGGATCCAGCTAAACATGGGCAGCAGGGCCGAATGCGCCAGTTGTCATGCGTGCCGATCCGTGGTAACTCTCGGCTCGTCGGGGGGATGGTGCGGGCGACACTAAGCCTGTTTCTCCACTAGCCCTCCTGCCATTGGGTGTCTTCGCACACATGCCACAGCGACCCTCTTTAACCTCTCAACCCTAATTCCTCTGCGCTGCGACCGACCGAAAGCGCCAATTACTAAAGCAGCTCTATGAGACCCTTCGTGCCCCGTCGCCGTGATGTTCATCGCACCCGTGCCCTCCTCCATCACCGCCTAGGACTTCCCAACGAACTCGTCCTCGACATTCTGGACAAGGCTCGCTACTGGGTCGAGCACGTCCATGAAAATGACAGGACTCTCGTGATTCTGGACGAAGAGTTCTCCGACAACTTCTCCGCCGCGTCTCCATTAATGAGGATAATCTTTGACAAGCCCGAAACCACGCATCACGAAACGCCCAAACTCAAAGAGATAGAGTTTCTGGTTGTCAGTCACGACCAGGGCTGGACAACAGAGGGTACAACTGGCACATACAACACCTCTTCATGGTTTGAGGTCTCTATCGTGCGCCCGCAGTTTCCGACCGGCGATATGGACGATGAAACCGTCGCTGAAAACTTCGAGGACAACATGTACCCCCAAAGCAACATCCACAGCGTCATAGACAGCATATGCGGTGACCTGGGCTTCAGCAATGTACCACGCTCGCCATCGACTACGGAGCCACAGAGGTTACACTGCGACGAGATGCGGGCTATGACGTTTCTACATGATGACCCGTCACGGCCGATGGGTATTGAAGGTCAACACGCTTGGTATCTGCAAGGCAACGAGGTCGCAAGAGCCACGTCTGTCTTTGATGGCGACTTCATCCGGAGATATCGTGTTGTCTGGGGATGTAGAGAAAACCCAACATGGGAAGGCAATGAAGGCTCTGGACGTGGCGAGAACTTAATTGACTCTCTACAAGATGGCGATTGGATATGCGTATGGGCAAGAGCGAAGGTGAGCTGGTTTGCTCTAGTGTTATTTGCATTGACTAATATAAGTATCAGAGAAGAGGATGGGAAAATCACGTCCATGGCATACGTGTCACCACGCGCTACACCGTATAGCCAGTACCAAACACGCTCAGAGAGTGTGCTTTGATGCATCTTCATCTACGCAATTACCCGCGTACTGTAATCTCCTCAGTAACAGAGGTCACTGTGTTCGGTGCCACATGCATCGAAACGTTTGATCGCTTGTAGCTTGACGTCTTCCGACATACCCTCATCGGAGGCATCAACCCCATGCGACAACATACCCTCTTGTTCTCCAGAAGCGACAAAATCACCAGTAGCATCATTGATGTCAACTGGTGCTCCGCGGACCTTGGCTCGAGCTTTTGCGATGCGCTCAGCCTTCGCACGATCCCGTTCGTCAGCTGCCACTTTCAGATCCGCTTTGAAGGCACGAGCAGCGGCCGCCTTTTTCTCAAGTGCGGCTTGCTTGGCCGCCTCAATCTGGGCCTTCCGTTCCTTGCGGGCTTCGGCTCCACCCTTGGCTGCTTCGACCCGCTTTTCTTCGGCCCGTTCAAGCTCGGCGGCGCGCACGCCTATACGAGAGGACGGTGCAGGTGTCGGCGATGCATCAAAACGGGGTTTTCGGGCAGCAATTTCTGATTTAATCGATGACGATATGCGTGCAGGAGCAATAGACTTTGTGGGCGCACATGGTGTCTTCGCACGATGTTTCTTCGCGACTGGCGTTGTGGGCATCTCTGTTGCGCGCCTGGGTGTTGAAGCCTTTGCTGGCCGCTCCTCATGCTCTCGCTCACGAGAGTTCAGCTCATCCACGTATTCGAAAGTGACGGTGGCACATCGAGCCTTCATCACAGGATCGGCTGCATTCTCGAGCTCGGCTTCTTCCCAAATCTCCACCAGGCTCTTGAGCTCGTCTACACTCAGACGTGCCTCGGCCTCACGACGTTTCTCGCGCGTCACTCGCCAGTATTTGACTTGCTCACGTACCTGAGCGCGCATCGAGTTCTTCTGCTCCTGTATCGTAGGCGCTGTTGTGCAGTCTTCCAGTGTAGAGTGAGGACAATGGTGAAAGGCAGAGGCTTCGTCAATGACCTCGTCATCCTTCCCTGCAAGCTCAGCGTC